TTTTTTTTAACCCCCCCCCCCCCCCCCCCCCAACAAAAAGAAGTTCAGGTATGTCTGTCTCTGGTTTTTGGGAAGATTTTAAGATTGGACATAGATATTCCTGGGTCTGGATTTTACAGAGGAATGACTGAAGTATACTTATATGCTAAATTTGAAAGAAGAAGTTATATACAATAAGAAACAAGTAACAATGCTCGGATCTGATAGACGTCACAACCAAAGCTGGGATAGACTCCGAATTGTAATAACATAGCTTTGATCTTTTCTTATGATTATTTTTGTGGATTGAAATTATTTTTATGTTGGAGTATCTCTAGGTACTATCATTAACACTCTAATTACCTCTGATTGGAAAGTATTAACTTTTATTTGGAAAACCAATGAAGATTCATATCCTTTTTGTAAATTATGGTTCTTGACTGGTCTCTACCAACAATTGTGTCCAACAAAAATAACAGATGCTCTAGAGACCTAAAAATTATATGTGCACCTTCCTGGTTTGAAAAAAATACCTTTTGGTAGTGCCCCTTGGGATGAGCCTTTTTGAGGCGCACACCTCTTTTGACTGAAATTGAATTGACCCTCATTATAAAAGATCCAGAGATAGCTTACCTCTGTAAACCTATGCTTTCCAAAATCTTCTTTTTGACTGAGATGGGTCCATTTGCAGAAAGTTTTTTAAGAATTTTCTATCCTTCTCTTCCTTTTTGTTTATTTCTCTCTCTCTCTCTACTTTTGGTAAACTCAAGAAAAGGTATTGGTTGACGCTTGAAATATAATTGATGTGAGTCTGATGGTTTTGGGTTGGGAGTAAAATTGCAGTCTGTTAAAATCTGTTTGTTTCATTGGAAACTGGCATGTCTGTATGGAGGGTGGGGGCAGAACATGGAGAAATTCTCAATGGATTCTTTCCATATTTATACAGATTTTACCTCAATTTTTTCTTTTGCCCCATCTTGTAATTTTATTTAAACAAATAGGCCTCACATGGCGAAGGATCCGTCACAAAGCACATTATTAGGGTGGTGCAATAAGGATTGTATGCATAATACGTGTTGGTTCTGAAATAATGGAAAATACGCATGGAAGTGCTTGCCATCTTCTTTCATGTAACGATGCTGTTGCAACGATATTATGTGTTTCATTAACTTTTTTATATATTTATTAATATATCTTATTTCAAACTTACATTGGCTGTATTAGCTTTTACATTGCTAGGTTAGTTATAGTACTGACTGACTAATTGAACTTTATTTTTAAGCTGTTGTACTTCCCTTTCCCGTTCCCTACTGGGGAGAACTAGTCTATAGGTACAAAAGTTTGCAAATCATACATGTTCCTTGTGGTAAATATTGCTTTTAACAAGATGGCTACATTAGCTGGAGAAGTGGCTGATGTGCTCTTTTTTACTAAACAATATCAGGAGATGGAAAAATGTGAATCCACGGGCATTCTAGGAAAGGAAGCTGGGCATGAGATGGTGCTAGTGCATCATGAGTATAATTGCTCAATTCACGTGGTTATTCCATTTTCTTCTAAATGTTCATTTATGTCACCATTGTTTATCAATGTCAAGATTTTGAAACAAAGGTCTTGATCTCGTTTAGAAATCTTATTTTAATGTTATTATGTTTCTGATCCTACTAATAATTATAGGTTTCTGTCAAATAAAAGCCTGAAAAACTAGCATATCGGAATATATACACGTGTGTGTCTTCCATAAGATAAAGAAGATCCCTCTATTGAGATTCTAAGGAATTCTCGGAGTGATTCCTATCTCTTGTTTGTGTGGCACTATTCTTTCTTTTATTCAAGCGAGTTGCACCTTCAAAGAGACATCTAAATAACTTTTTCTGATCCATAATACCATAAATCATAAAGCATGGCCGACATTTCTTTAGTTCATAACCATAGAATTGCCGCAAAGACCTAAACCTCCAAAGATTACACTGCTTGGGTACTGTTTATTAGTGATGCAGGGTAGCGTATTTGCAAACATTTAACATACAAACAAACATGAATATTTTTTTTTCTCTTTTTGTTGGGAGCTTAAGATTTTTAAGGTCATCTTTGCTTGTGCATTTGCTGAAATTTTTGAACTCATTGTTGAATTCTTGAAGTTAACTTTTTAATTAGATAAATGTGTTTTTAGGTTATTTGTGGTTGGTTCCCATATGTGAACGCTTATGCCTGTTCATTCAAATGCTTTTAGCAAGGAGCATATAGGTATGATATGAAATCATATTGAAATAATGACTGTTGAAGTTCAGAACAAATTTTATATTTTTTCTGAATTAGTTTATTGATTTCTGTTGAGACTTATGCCTCACCTCATGTAAAACACTTCTTTAATTGATTGAGCTTTTTCAAACGTTAGTTCTCCCAAATAAGTAATTCTGCTATCTTTACAATTTAGTGAAAACATTCAAACTGTGATCTGAAAACCTTACATTTTTGACTTGCAGAGCTATTTACAGTGTGACTAGTTCTGTTGATAAGTTTGTCTCATTCCAGTGTATTTCCTGAAATAGCAGCAAGCAAAGCCGGCTCTTTCCTTCCAACAATTCTCTCTGATGCTTTTCTGTCAACCTCTTTTGTTCTTTCTCACCCGCCTTTTGAAAAGAAACGAGGCTTTAAGCATCAGGTGGTTAACTGCCTCTTCTATCCCTTTTCTTCCAGGCTAGCAAGTATCCTAAAATTTCAACCTTCACATCTTCTACCATTTTAGAATCCCCATTGTTCTGTATACTTGTAAATCAATGTGAATCAGTTTGTAGTACTGCTACCAGCATTTATAAGAATCCCTAATACAGAACTTGAGTACCCAGTTAACTTTAAAACGTTGGAATGATCTTTTAGAAAGCTTTATAATTTTCAGACCCAAACATATTCTGCTTTTCCTCTGGCCTTTTACGTGTGATTTGTTCTCTTGAATTACATTTATTTTATTTTTCCTTTTCCACCCTTTTCTTCATTTTGTAAATTCAGAAATATTGCGAATCACCTCTTTTTCTTCTCTTGCTATGGGGAGCTTGAGGTCTTTAAGGCCCCCTTTGTTTGTGCAAATGCTGAAATTTTTAGTTGCACTGTTGAATTCCTGATGTCTACTTTTTCAATTGAAAAAAATAAATAAATCTGTTTTTGGGTTTCTTGTCATTCCTGTTTGTTAAAGCTTATGTTTGTTCGTTCAAATGATTTTAACAAATGGCATTTATGTATTGCATCATGGTGAAATAATGACCATTATGTCATGCAAGTATCTTTATAGCTGTTTCAGTATGATCATGTGACAAGAAAGGAATATATGCGAATTATGTTTGCATCAAATTGATTTGTATACGTGGCTAAGAGATTATTCTGTTATGAGCGCATTGGGTGGTATCATCCCTCAAAACGACCTTGTAGGGAGAGGGGCCTAGTGCTTATAAACCACAAGCTATGCCCTAACTAAGCGATGTGGTACTCAATTAGGATTTGGTACATTATTGCTTTAGTTTTCCTTGTAGTACTTGTAATTCTGAAACTTTCTTTCTTGTATAAGATTGATAGATGCTCTGGACATGATGAAGCAAGGCGTGAAGCGACTCCTTGTTCCCAAGAGCATAGTCTGGAGAGGAATGAGCAAGCGCTTCTCATTTCTCTACAATGGAAAATGGCTCAAGAACATTGACACCTCTAGTGCCAATAACACAAATCCTATTGCCAACACTAACATTCCGTCATCATCATCTTCCACTTCCGCCATCCAGGACAAGTTTTGTTGTCTGTCAAGAGAAGATATTCTACGTTTCATCATTGGTTGCCTTGGCGCGTTGGCTCCTTTACCTCTTTCCTCAATTGCTTCTCTTGGAGTCATCAATCCAAACTACTGCTCCATTGAAGCATCTTGCCCAGCCATTGATGCCACCAAAAAGCTTCCCCAAGATCCATGTGCAGTTGCTGTTGTGGAGCCAACATCAGATGGTCAATATAACATCATTGGCGAAATATCTGCCTCTAAACTGTGGAAATGTGATTACTTAGCTGCATCATGTGCTCTGGCTAATCTCTCTGCTGGACAGTTTGTTATGGGGGTTGAAGATAACATGACGCCAAGATCACTTCCTGATATTGCACTTAATCAAATGGTTGGGGAGACGAATTTAGGTAATGGAGGAAGCCCAACCAAGCCGAAAAAGTTCAGCAGTAGAAGTATTGGGTTCTTTAGCAATGCGGCCAACTCAAATTTCGGGGGTGGTAGGAGCATCTATCGGGGTAGAAGTGCACCATTGACGTGTAAAGTGACTAGCTCGCTGGCTGCAATAATGGCTCAAATATTGTCTCACCGGGCAACACATGTTTGGGTTACTGAGGCTGAAAACGACGATATATTAGTTGGTGTCATGGGTTATGCTGATATCATGGCTGCAGTAACCAGACAATCGGCTCCTGCCGTTTCTGAAAGCCAGCCATCTTGAGTTTTTGCCAGCCCATATTTTGTAAGAATTTCGGAATGGTGGGGTGTTTGTGTTTGTGTATCCATTTCATTGATTTGTCTTGTTAATGTTACAAGGAAATTGTGTGCATGTCATGAATGTGAATTGTGACATTATACCATACTTTTTCTCAAATTTTCTTTAAAGTTTCTGTACAATTTATAACTCAAAATTGACTGAACTTAATGAATCAAAACTTTTTTCTTTTACCTCTCTCTTGTCCTCAAATTATATATTTGGCCTTGTTAGTTGTCTCCCTGCCAAATACAATTCTGTTGATTGGTAGATTGAATGAGATTGATTGATGGGCATATTGAACAAGAAGCACAAGAGCCGGTATAGATAAATAGACAAGCCCAGCTACCAGTCAGAGTGAATCCTAGTAAAAGAAATGCTATTTTCACATCCAGTGTACATCGGAATGTACATAAAGCAAAACTCTCCTAGTTAGTATTTACCAGCGATAGAATAGGACAGTCATCTGCCAGACTCCAATGCCTTTCTTAGTTGGACCAACCCAGCTGCCATTTTCGACTTCCTGATTGGGAGAACAGTGTAAGAATGAACCAAAGCAAATGATTGTTCTCTGGTTGCTAGAGAAGCAAGCTATTACAGCGAGTAACTAGAGCAATATGAAGCTGAGGATCTTAATTAACCAAAAGCAGGACCCACAGTTATTGAATTTGACTTCTCACACGTGAACGAAGCATTAACAACTCCTTTGTATTAGGACCTACGGGCCATGGTGAAATCTCGTGTACGGAAGAGCATACAAAAAGAGAAGAAAAAAAATATAGAAGGAAAATAACGAAGAGAGAATAGAGGTAAGTTTACTTACACTAGATTGAGATCTTGAGCTCTCCTAGTGAATCCCTTAATTTGCAATGAGACAAGATTAACCCAAACTATTAATTTCCTATACTACAAAAATATATTTTAAGAAATTGCAGTTTAGTCCATTCAAAGCAGAAAAATAGCAAAATGTTCTTAAACTTGTCAAAATTTGCAGCACTGCCATTAAACCTCAAATATTGACTTTTAAACTTATAATCATTCTCAAAAATGGTATAATTCGGGTATTAGATTCCTAAACTTGCATGTTTTTCTAACATCTATATGATTTATCAATGACGCTACAATTTTCTTCCACCATTCTTGTATATCCATCCGCATCTAAAAAAAAATTTATGTTACATTTTTATCCTTACGTAAATTTACTTAAATAGACAAAAATAAAATCAAATAAAATCTTATCGCTCTAAATGAATTCACTAATATTTATTTATCATTCTATAAACTTACAACTAATAATATTTATATTTTAATTTAATCACTTCCCAATAGGTCTAAGCATGGTTTGGGTTGCAACCCGAAACCAAAACTAAATTAGTCGGTTTGGACAAATTTCAAATTAAACCAATCCACTCAAGCTCTTAAACAAGATCAAACCAAAACTAAATTAGTCGGTTTGGTTTGATTAATCGGTTTGGACTTTTAGTCCAAATTATTTTATTTTAAGAGAAATTGTCCGAGTTTAGGCGCACTTAAATTACAAGAACTAAAATTACCAAATAATTTTGTATTATAATAACTATTGATTAACAAAAAATAGGTTAATAGAGATGTATCAATAGAAAACTTATAAATTTTATAGTTTTTTTATGTATTATGTAATCTGACTGCCTGAATATGAAAAAAATGCTAAGTATAATATAATAAGCTTGTAAGAAAATTTTTAGTACTATTACTTATCAGCAATATCATAGATTAGAGGGAATCGAGATATAGTCATGAGATTAGAGTTTATCTTTTGATTTTTATTTTTGTTAAATTAAAAAAAAAAAAGTGAACACGTAAGTGGGTTGGGTTGGTTCGGTTAGCCAACAGTTTGAGACTTCAATTCATGATTGAACCGACCCGCCATAATTTTGTTTAAAAGAAAACTAAACCAAATCAATTACCTGCGTCGAACCAACCCGAACCGAATCAAGTCGATTTGATTGGTCTGATCGATTTTTCGTCCATGCCCACTTTCCAAACCAAATGCAAGCTAAAATTTCTTCTATTTGCTATTTGTATCCACGATCATATTCCCAACTAAAAGAAGTCCTCACATAATATTTTTCAGAGAAAAAAGAACATAATCAAATTTAAGGAATATTCATTATTGTCGTTTTTTCTATTTAAACTTACAAGTCAAATCAATTTATACGACTCTTACACATCTTGTTTCATGGGAGAAGAACAACCACGGACCTGTATAAATTATCAACGCCCATTGAACAAGCAATACAGATAGAGAATTACATGGCTACACCATCTCATCTTCTCTATCCACAAAGTATCATTCCTTTATTATTATTATTATTATTATTATTATTATTATTATTATTATTATTATTATTATTATTATTATTATTATTATTATTATTATTATTAAATACTTTATCATGGCTAGAGAAGAACATGGCTACAACTCTTGCACATCTTGTTTCACATGATCTAAATACTATATATCCACAAAGTATCATCCCTTGTAGCCATTTTTTTTTTATTTTTTTGTGTGTGTGTGTGAATGATAATTTTTGTCCAACGTATTTGTAGACAAACTATAATGGGAAGATCAGGTGTACAAAAAACGTACAAGCCGTTACATATATCTTACATATGGTTACTACCGGTAGTCCTCACTCTGAATAGTGTTACTCTTTTGAAATGTAATATGGAAAAATATAATATTTTTCAAAAAATTTAAAATTATAGTATGGGAAGATATATAAGTGTTGTGAATATATAATGTTTAAATGAATGAATTTAATAAAGGTAACGTTGGAATGTAATTTTGATGAATGTTGTACTTTTTGAAATTTCAATAGGAATAGATTCAGAGTGGTATAGATATATAAGAATGATAGATGAAAATAGTTGCTCTCTCTATTAATTATCCTTAAAGTACTAAATTTGTACTTGGTAATTTGGGATGGGATGTGGCAAATTAACTCGCTTGTTAATTAAAAACTTTGCTACATGTACATGAAGGTTCACATAAAGGATTATAAAATGTCATATAGTACCCTACCATTGTCAATTTAAAATACATTCAACTTTTCCTCCACATCATTTACGAGAAACGCTCATATACCATTTTTATATACAAGTAGCAAAATCCTTTAAATAACAAGTTTTCTTAAATTTGTATCATAGTAATTAATGATCGTATTTTTTCATTAATTGCGGCGAATATGAAGCGCATGGATACAAGGTATGCCTTGGAGTGAAAGACAATTTCGAATCCACTTTTTCATGCTTTTTTTCTTTTTACTCAATTCATGCTCAAGAATGCCTCCGTTCTCCACTAAATTCATCACTTTCTTAGAAAAATGCACGTTTTTAAATATTAGTACTTATGTCCTTAAATACTAAATATACTAATTGCCTCAAAACTTCACGCATATCCCACGTATAAGAGTTAGTCTACACATACAAAATATTTTTGTACAGAACTGGTACAGAATACACACATAAAGGGGTGGGTAAATTATTTTTTATAATATTTTAATTCACTCCATTAGAGGGTCCGTAAGGTTTCTATAATTTTTTCCTGTATATGGAGTTTTAGGGTATTACAACGTACGGTTGGCTCGTACACCTTTTTGTCACGTTGAAGTGGACACCATGTTAAGCTCCAATGTTTGGTGCGATGGCGGAGCCCACAAGAGGACGGGGGATGAGCGCTCCCCACATAAAAAATTTAAAATATTTTAACCCCTTAAAATATTTTTAGTGGCCTCACTCCACGTGAAAATTCTGATTTCCACCACTAATCACGTTTTTAAATATTCGGAATTCACATGCTAAGTCAAGCTGGATGATCTTGACTTTTTTGCATTTAGCATTTTGTACATAAGAGGAATATCGTATTTATTATGTTACTCCTTTCATTTGAATTAGGGAAAATTGTAGCAACGGTCCATAACTTTTCATTTTTTTTTTTTTGCAAACTTTATTTGACCTTCAAGTGCTTGCCAATAGAGGCCTCCAACATTTGAAAATTTTGCAAGTTGACCTGAAATATCTAAAAATTGGATATTTTGACCATTTAAGTAAGACATTTTCAGCAGTCTCATAATAACTTTATATTTTTTTAATAAAAACACATTTATATAATAATGAATAATTAAATCAAAAAACAAAAATCAAACCTATGTTCTTCACCCCCACCACCCCACCCCCAAAAAAATTGAACCCAAAATTAGAAAACTTACCATCGCCAGCCAACTGACCACAGTCACCCATCTTATATGAGCAGCATCGTAAATCGTCGTCGTCGCCGCCGCCGCCACCATCAAACAAAAACCAACCACCATGCCACCATCAAACTTACACCTAAAGCCAAAACCAAAACTAAAACCAAAACCATACTCCCACAAAACCAAAACCAACCTCTACCACGCGTCGCCACCAACACCAGTAATCTAGTTGGTGGTAACCCCTGAAACACATCGAGCCTCCTTGAGAAAACACACACAGAGTTCAAAATCTTGTAATTAAATTTTATTAACTGAAGCTTATTTTGTAAAACCAATTAATTTTGTGGCCCATGTAATATTAAAGAATTAACTAAAAGTGGTTAATATTACTAAAATCATATTGGCCTAATTGAGAAGTGACAGTTTTATAGTTGTCCAATTTGATGGAAAGTTGGTAGTTTTTATGACCCATAAGAAATTGTCTCTCTCTACCTATAAACGTGAATGAAACCCATCAATTAAATCATTCAATTACATAGAGGAAAAGTCAGATAATAGTTTCTTTAATTTAACAATTCATTTTTTGTAGATTTAATTGTTCGATTATTGCCATGGATCAATGTATGTTTCTTGATCAATTAACTTATATTTGAAAATCATGAAATTCTTAAGATCTTGATATTAAGGTTAATTGCTTACATGTTTCTTTGGTTCTTGACACCATGAGTTTGAAATCTAGGTTGTGTGCTAATGCAGAAATTTGGGTTGGCATTGGTTGATGGGAGGACGGATAAGCGGAGTGAGATCACTCTTGGGTAGTGAAACTTCATAATTGCAGCATATTTTGAGAATATAGGTCTTTTTTTATGGTGTGTATATACATAGAGGAAGAGGGGTAGATAAGAGTTTGTAGAGTCTGGGTTATTGCAACCACGTGTTGGTGGTGGATGATTT